TATCAAATACACAACCTAACTCTACACCTAAAGGAGCTAGAGAAAAAACAGCAAATAAAGCCTAAACCCAGCAGGAGAAGAGAAATAATAAAGATCAGAGCAGAAATCAATGAAATAGAAACCAAAAGAACAAGAGAACAGATCAACAAAACTAGGAGCTGGTTCTTTGAAAGAACTAACAAGATTTATAAACCCCTGGCCAGACTTATCAAAAACAGAAGAGAAATGACCCAAATAAATAAATCATGAATGAAAGAGGAGAGATCACAACCAACACCAAAGAAATACAATTATAAGAACATATTATGAGCAATAAAATGCCAGCAAATTAGATAATCCGGAAGAAATGGATGCATTCCTAGAGATGTATCAACTACCAAAACTGAACCAGGAAGAAATAGAAAACCTGAACAGACCTATAACCACTAAGGAAATTGAAGCAGTCATCAAAAATCTCCCAACAAACAAGAGCCCAGGGCCAGATGGCTTCCCAGGGGAATTCTACCACACATTTGAAGAATTAATACCTATTCTTCTGAAACTGTTCCAAAAACTAGAAATGGAAGGAAAACTTCCAAACTCGTTTTATGAGGCCACCATTACCTTGATCCCAAAACTAGACAAAGACCCCATCAAAAAGGAGACTTACAGACCAATATCCTTGATGAACATGGATGCAAAAATTCTCACCAAAATACTAGCCAATAGGATCCAACAGTACATTAAAAGGATTATTCACCACGACCAAGTGGGATTTATCCCTGGGCTGCAAAGTTGGTTCAACAACTGCAAATCAACCAATGTGATACAATACATTAATAAAAGAAAGAACAAAAACCATATGATCCCCTCAATAGATGCAGAAAAAGCATTTGACAAAGTACAGCATCCTTTCTTGATCAAAACTCTTCAGGGTATAGGGATAGAGGGTACATAACTCAATATCATAAAAGCCATCTATGAAAAACCCACAGCGAATATCATTCTCAATGGGGAAAAACTGAGAGCTTTTCCCCTAAGGTCAGGAACACAGCAGGTATGTCCACTATCGCCACTGCTATTCAACATAGTATTAAGTCCTAGCCACAGCAGTCAGACAACAAAAAGAAATAAAAGGCATCTGAATCAGCAAAGAAGTCAAACTCTCACTCTTTGCAGATGATATGATACTTTATGTGGAAAACCCAAAAGACTGCACCCCAAAACTGCTAGAACTCATACAGGAATTCAGTAAAGTGGCAGGATATAAAATCAATGCACAGAAATCAGTGGCATTCCTATACACCAACAACAAGACAGAAGAAAGAGAAATTAAGGAGTCGAGCCCATTTACAATTGCACCCAAAACCATAAGATACCTAGGAATAAATCTAACCAAAGAGGCAAAGAATCTGTACTCAGAAAACTATAGAATACTCATGAAAGAAATTGAGGAAGACACAAAGAAATTGAGGAAGACACAACGTTCCATGCTCATGGATTAGAAGAACAAATATTGTAAAAATGTCAATGCTACCTAGAGCAATCTACACATTTAATGCAATCCCTATCAAAATACCATCCACTTTTTTCAAAGAAATGGAACAAATAATCCTAAAATTTGTATGGAACCAGAAAAGACCCCAAACATCCAAAGGAATGTTGAAAAAGAAGACCAAAACTGGTGACATCACAATTCTGGACTTCAAGCTCTGTTACAAACCTGTAATCATCAAGACAGTATGGTACTGGCACAAAAACAGACACATAGATCAATGGAACAGAATAGAGAGCCCAGAAATGGACCCTCCACTCTATGGTCAACTAATCATTGACAAAGCAGGAAAGAATGTCCAATGGAAAAAAGACAATCTCTTCAACAAATGGTGTTGGGAAAACTGGACAGCCACATGCAGAAGAATGAAACTGGACCATTTCCTTACACCACACACAAAAATAGGCTCCAAATGGTTGAAAGACCTCAATGTGAGACAGCAGTCCATCAAAATCCTAGAGGAGAATACAGGCAGCAACCTCTTCGACCTCAGCAGCTTCTTCCTAGAAACATCGCCAAAGACAAGGGAAGCAAGGGCAAAAATGAACTATGGGGACTTCATCAAGATAAAAAGCTTTTGCACAGCAAAGGAAACAGTCAACAAAACCAAAAGGCAACCGACAGAATGGGAGAAGATATTTGCAAATGACATATCAGATAAAGGGCTAGTACCCAAAATCTATAAAGAACTTATCAAACTCAACACCCGAAGAACAAATGATCCAGTCAAGAAATGGGCAGAAGACGTGAACAGACATTTTTCCAAAGAAGACATCTAAATGGCCAACAGACACATGAAAAAGTGCTCAACATCGCTTGGCATCAGGGACATCCAAATCAAAACCTCAATGAGATACCACCTCAACACCAGTCAGCATGGCTCAAATTAACAAGTCAGGAAACAACAGATGTTGGCGGGGATGTGGAGAAAGGGGAACCCTCCTACACTGTTGGTGGGAATGCAAGCTGGTGCAGCCACTCTGGAAAACAGTATGGAGGTTCCTCAAAAAGTTGAAAATAGAGCTACAGTACAACCCACCAATTGCACTACTGTGTATTTAACCCAAAGATACAAATGTGGGGACCCGAAGGGGTACGTGTACCCCAATGTTTATAGCAGCAATGTCCAAAATAGCCAAACTATGGAAAGAGCCAAGATGTCCATCGACAGATGAATGGATAAAGAAGATTTGGTATGGGGCACCTGGGTGGCTCAGTCAGTTAAGCGGCTGCCTTCGGCTCAGGTCGTGATCCCAGGGTCCTGGGATCGAGCCCCACATCGGGCTCCCTGCTCGGCGGAGAGCCTGCTTCTCCCTCTGCCTGTCACTCTGCCTATCTGTGCTCTCTCTCTACGCGTCTGTCAAATAAACAAATAAAATCTTTAAAAAAAAAAAAAAAAAAAAAAAGAAGATTTGGTATATATATATATATATATATATATATACACATATATATATATATACACACACACACACACACACACAATGGAATATTATGCAGCCTTCAAAAGGAATGAAATCTTGCCATTTGCAACGACGTGGATGAAACTGGAGGGTATTATGCTGAGTGAAATTAGTCAATCAGAGAAAGACATGTATCATATGATCTCACTGATATGAGGAATTCTTAATCTCAGGAAACAAACTGAGGGTTGCTGGAGTGGTGGAGGGTGGGATGGATGGGTGGCTGGGTGATAGACATTGTGGAGGGTATGTGCTATGGTGAATGCTGTAAATTGTGTAAGACTGTTGAATCACAGACCTGTACCTCTGAAACAAATAATACATTGTATGTTAAAAAATAATAAGAAGAAGATAGCAGGAGGGAAAAATGAAGGGGGGAAATTGGAGGGGAAGAAAAACCATGAGAGACTATGGACTCTGAGAAACAAACTGAGGGTTCTAGAAGGGAGGGAGGTGGGGGGATGGGTTAGCCTGGTGATGGGTATTAAAGAGGGCACGTAACGAATGGAGCACGGGTGTTATATGCAAACAATGAATCATGGATCACTACATCAGAAACTAATGATGTAATGTACAGTGATTAACATAACATAATTAAATTTAAAAAATAAATAAAGAAAAGAAAAGAAGGCTGTCCTTTCTTTAACCTCAAGGTAAGCACTGACATTTATCCTCAGTTTGGAAATCATGTCAATTCAATTTACAGCTAAATTGAAAGAAAGTCCAGAGATTTTCCCCAGGCTCATGAATCCATTGCTATTATTCTACCCAGGCCTTTTTCCACAGAACTATGCAAGTACCAGTCTCACACTATTTCTATCATCTATTGAGAAGATCCATTAGTGACACAATTTCCTTATTGTTCCCTATAACGTTGTATAAGTCCAGAGCATGGCATATTTTTCTTCCCCAAATAGTCAGAGTAGACAATTTAATGCCAATTAATAACCAAGTCATTTACTGCCGTATGTGAAAAAGAACGTAGCTAACCATCTGAGATTAAATATCAGAACCAGACTGTAGTGATCTGGAAGCTGAACCCAGGCAGGGGCAAGGCAAATAGAAGGAATGTGCTCTACCTTACCACATGTTTTCCTTTCTTTTCTTTATGTTTGCCACTGGTTAAATGTCCTAGAGTTCAATTTCTCTATCTGTGCACCCCATGAAGTGGTGGACGGTGAAGTAGGTGGGGATGGGGCGGGGGGAGGTGACAGGGTGGAGAGGGGGAGGGGAGACTATCTTAAACAATTGGCAAGAAAAAGCCACTTCACGTAGCCAGAATAGATTTTTGTCTGAAGGAAATGGCAGTGCTTGGGCTTTTTTTTTTTTATGAAAAGTACCTTTGTTCCAATAGTTTTTCAAGAACAAAAATGTATCTTTACACTTTTGTCATTATATTTATGAACTGTAAATCCTCATTTTATGGAAACACTGCAGGATTTCAAACTCCTAAATCAACCTGGTAAATCTCCAACCTCAGGAGTTCAATTCAAGGAGAACCCCTTCAAAGATACTGACATTTTATAGGGAACTTCAGGAAAAACAAACAATGAGAGTTTTCAATGTACATTTTTTTGTAACCCTAAAGGCTTGTCATGGGAGACAGCGAACATGTAAAGAGAATAAAGCCCGCTGCTGAGATTGCATTTTCTGAGCCCCAGGTCAGTATGACTTAAACAATAACAGTAAGATGGTCTCTTGGGAAATTTGGTCTGGGGCCCCTAACAAACCACCATTGTTTCCTTAAAGGAACATTTTACTTTTATATCAGGGTATCATGATGTTGGATATACAAGTAAACTTTTGAAAGGGAGAAAAATGACTCTTTAGAAAACCCATCTGCAATTGCAAAGCACTTTATAAATATTGTAGGCTTGAGGCTTCACCTTCTCTCTTACAATATTTCCCATTATTTGCTAGACACAGTCTTGTTATGTGTTGTATCTCGGTGAACTGTATGCCAACTTCTACTAATGACGCCACTTCAATACACCCAGCTTTACCAATGTTTAGCCAGCTGGTAGTCCACATCAGCCAATCCAAATATTTCATTGTTGGATGAAATAGTTTCACAGGCAACCACAGTTGTTAGGCATGTGAATTTTATTAAGGCTTATTCCATAGACTAGGACAAAACAGAACACAGAGCAGTTCACTCCGAGTTGCTGAGTGAGACTCATTGCAAACAATTTCCACCCATTCACTGAACAATGTCCAAAAAATTATGATCTTCATGGAATTGTGAGTTGTGGAAGTATGTGAAAGTGCTTAGGGTCCTGAAAGCCAATAGAAACCATGTCTCTTTTTGCTAATGAGAAGGCCTTAGTTCATGCAGTGCTTAACAGAGGTGGAGGCAAATGTCTCTTAATCCCCTAAATAGAAAGGATACGTAGAAACTACATAATGAAATATGTCATCTTTTTCTCTCCAATATACAGTGATGCCTGTGCCAAGCAGTAATGCTCAATTTCTGAAAGTCCATACCAAGGATTTTTAATGGCATTATCAGCAGGGTGTCCTACACTCTTGCCTACATGTGCCATTTTCTGCAACCTTGAATGAAAGACTTCCCTTTCATATGCCACTGTGGAAACACATCATTCCCCACAGCTTGCGCCTCTCCAGGCTGTCGTAACTGTTTCAGGGAATGTCTTTATCAGCCACTAGAGAATCCGTGCTGGGAAAAGAATTCCAGGGCTGTCCTTAGGTTTACTTACTGAGAGGGTTTTAATGTGCTCGGTGGGTCACTAACACATAAAAGGGGTCAAATGTTCTTACCAATTCTTTTGGAAAGGGAGTAAAGAATGCTGCAGGGAAGCTGGGCTCAGACTCAGCCAATTCAAATTCAGAAAGTGCACAGACTACACAGAAACGAAGTGTCAGCTCGGAGAGGCACGGTCACAGAAAAGATGGCTCAAACAACAAAACTGGTTTTGAAGAATCAGGGAGGCATTGGCTACAGAGAGCAACTCAGGCCAAGAGTCAGCTGTGGGAGATTCTGTTTCCCTTTGCCACTACTGACCTGCGAGGTGTCTGGGCAGACCCAGCAAGATTAACCATGCCCCACGCCCATCCAGAGTGATGTCTCAGATGTGAACACTTTTAACAATGCAGACATATACCCTATATTCTACTGTTATCTGATTTTTATTATGTGTTCATGAATCTTACCCTCCAGCCAAATTATAATCACTGTAAGGTCACAAACTACATAAAATATGCCCTTGGGATCCCATATGAAACTTTTCAGAGTACTGAGCACAGAATCAGTACTCAATAAATACTTATTGAAAATCTGAATATAATGATGCTAACAGAAAGAAAAGGGCAAGAAATCCATGCATCAATATACTGTGAGTGCCATGAGGGAGCTTCTCTGCTCACTCTTCTCTCCCCAGTGCATGGAGCAGGTAGGCTTAATGCATTTTTTGTTGAATATGCAAGATTTGTTGAATGAATTTGTGAATATTAATAAATACTTTATAATACTGATGTATTTTAGTTCTGTTTTAATGGACTAATACATACATTTTCCCAATTAGTAAGTATTCTTTTATAGCTGACCTTGTAATAGCTGCATTTATTGCATAAATAGATCATGATCTATTTAACCCTGCTGATAATTGCATGAATAGATCATGCTAGAAATTTAAGTGCTTTCCTTTTTATTTATTTATTTATTTTTTTAATCTCCCTCATCTTGCTTCCTCTTTCCTTTCTTCTGAAAACCAGACTCAAAAAATTCACATAGGAAAGCCTGGAGCCTTTTGACTAGAAAGAAAGCCAAAGAGCTCTTGAGGACAGTTGTGGGTTTTTTGTTATTGTTTTTTAAGAAACAAAGTGTAAAGTTTTAATAATTTCTTTTTGTTTTGCATTATTTAATTAAGCCTTTTTATTTTAATAGAATTATAGATTCGCCAGCACAGAGAGGGCCTGTGTACCATTTCTCTAGCACCCTCTCCAATGATAACATCTTACAAAACTATATATATATATCACAACCAGGATCCTGACATTGATAGTCAAAAACAGGACATTTCCTTCAGTCCCTCCTGTTGTATTTTTATATACATTTTCCCTCATGCCCCAATCCCTCCTCAAACCCTGACAACTGCTAATTCTTCATTCATCAATGTTACATAAATGGTATTATACAATATGAAAACTTTTGGGATAGGCTTTTTTATTCACCCTAATTCTCCTGATATTCACCCGGGTTACTGCTTATATCAACATTTTGTTCTCAGTACTCTTACTGAGTAATATTCCATGTTATGGATCTACCACAGTACATTTAACTATTCGCCCATTGTAAAACATCTGAGTTGTTTCCAATTTGGGGCAGTTAGGAATAAAGCTGCTGTAATCTTTGTGTACAGGTTCCTGTGTAAACCCTGTCTTATTTCTTTGGTATAAACAGACAAGGGAGCAAAATGCAACTGCTGGATTGTATGGTAATTGCACATCTGATTTATTAAGAAACTACCAAATTGTTTTCCAGAACAGCTATATCATTTTACATTCCCATCAGCAATGTATAGGTGATCCAGTTTTTTTACATTTTTTTTTCCCATTTTTTTCCCATTTTTGACAGCATGTAGTGTTGTCATTTTTATTCTAACCATTCTGATAGGTGTGTAGTGATATTCCCCTGTGGGTTTTTTCTAATTAGTAAACTGTATTTTTTAGAGCAGTTTTAGGTTCACAGCATACGTGAAGGGGAAGTACAGTTCCCAAATACCCCTTGTCCCTACGTATGCACAACTTCCCCCACAGTAGACACTCTGCACCACAGTGGTACAATTGTTACAACTGATGAATCTATGTAGGCACATCCTTATCACCCAAAGTCTATAGATTACATTACAGTTCATTCTTGGTGTTACACATCCTAGGGTTTTAGCAAACGTACAATGACATGTAACCACCACTGTAGTATCATACAGAATAGTTTCTGGGCCCTAAAGTTCCTCTGTGCTCTGCCTACTCATCCCTTCCTTTCCCTAACCCCTGGCAACCACTCATCTTTTTACTGTCACTTTAATTTTGCCTTTTCCACAATGTCATATAGTTGGAATCATACAGTGTGTAGACTTTTCAGTTTGGCTTCTTTCACTTAGAAACATGCATTTTAAGTTTCCTCCATGTCTTTTCATGGCTTGACAGCTATTTTTTTTTTTGATAGCTTATTTCTTTTTAGTACTGAATAATATTTCATTTTCTGGATGTACCACAGTTTATTTATCCATTCCCTTATAGAAGGACATCTTGACTGCTTCCACATTTTGGCAATTATGAATAAAACTTCTACAAATATCCATGGGCAGGTTTTTGTGTAGACATAACTTTTCAATTCATTTTGGTAAATACCAAGGAATAAGATTGTTGGATGATATGGCAAGAAACCACCAAACTGTCTTCCAAATTGGCTGTACCATTTTGCATTCCCATCAGCAATGAATGTTTCTGTTGTTCCACATCCTCACTCGCATTTGTTTGACAGTGTTTTGGATTTTGGCCATCCTAACAGGTGTGTGGGTATTTCATTGTTGTTTGAACTTGCATTTCCCTGAGGACATATGATGCAGAGTGTCTTTTCATATGCTTATTTACCAACTGTATATCTTTGGTGAGGCCTCTCTGTTAAGGGTATTTTTGCCCCTTTTTTAATTGAGTTTTTGTTTTCTTATTGTTGAGTTTTAAGAGTTATTAGAGTTTTAAGAATTTTTGCATAAAAATTCTTTATTAGATGTGTATTTTGCAAATATTTCTCTCCCAGTCTGTGGCTTATTGATCATTTCCTTAACATTGTCTTTCACAGAGCAGAAGCTTTTCATTTATTGAAGCCTAGCTTATCAATTATTTCTTTCATGGCTCACGTTTTTGGTACTGTATCTGAAGAGTCATTGCACAACCTAAGTCATCTAGGTTTATAGGCTGTGATAAAATCTCAGCAGGTTAAGCTCTGAAAACAGTCTCTCCTGAGGACAAGCTTTGTTAAGAACAGAATGCCCTGGCTATGCAAAACGGTGACTTTTTCCCTTCTCCTGCCAGAAGCCTGAGGGGATTTTTCTCTGATATACGCTCTGAGAAACTGGAAGGAAAACTCATAAAAGTGTTGGGGCATCCCTCCAATGGGCTGGGTCAGAGTTGTTAACTCTCAGACTTGCCCACAGTGAGCCTCCAGCCACTGGCCCATCAGTTCAGGTTTTTCGACCCAGGCACTGATTCCTTGGGCAGATTCTGATTGTGGATCTCTGCTACAATAGGTTGCAATTATCTGTACCTGCTTATCTGTCTCTCCAATACTGGAAGGCAGCAGTTTTTCCTATGATCTCACTTCTCTAACAGATCTAACAGAAGCTGTTGATTTTTTAGTGTGTTCAGGTTTTAATTTGCATTTCCCTAGTAGCTAACAATGTTGAGCATCTTTTCATGTGCTAAGAACAGTTTAAACCATGCTAAGTTTTAGTGACAGTTACCCTTTCTAACTAAAAAGAGTAACTGCGTTCTCAAAAAATTTTCATCTAAAGAAACTAGGCTACTCAGAGATCTAGAGTCATGTATGTGTGGGAAAGATGATTGGTGCCATTTCCTTGTTCTTGAGAGCTTCTTGAGGACAGGAATGGTATCTCCTCCAGTGAACACAATGATGTTCACTGAACTGCATTGATCTATGGAATAGATGACTCAGAGCTCGGCCACAGAGCTCTAGATAGGAAAGCATATCTATATCTAGATAGGAAAGTATATTATTTCATGGAAGTAATAGAGAGACATCAAGAGGCAAGCCAATGAAAGGTCCCTAAAATTTCCAAGTAAGCACAGAACTGTATGCCCCATCATGACACAGTTTACGGTTACATTTATCAGGACATTGCCAGTGGAACAGGAGCTCCAACTGCTACAGACTGTAAAAGCTAAAAATTATTGTATAAGGAAAATGTTTGTCTTATCACAGCCTCAGTGAGCATTGCACATGGCTCTCTGTGTACATAAAGCCAGTATGGCAAATGCTGCATCTAATTACATCCAGCCAGTTCAGTTTTCC